GACTTGCCTCTCCTCTGGGCATCAAGACTGAGAAATCCTGCCTCAGGCTTTCCACTGGGGTCTGGAGATGAAGTTAAGCTACAAAACCACTGCACCTCCTGTTTCTAGAAACAAAAAGTTGCATATCAAGTGCTTCAGCTTTACAAGTTGTTGTATTTTCCTTTTCAAGCCATCAGCTGCAGGATGCTGTTTGTCTTCTCCCTGATATATCTGCAGAGATACTTGGGGCTGATACCAGGCACCAGGGGACATAAACTTTTTAACCAAGGACACAGCTAACTTGAGTACAACTATAAAAAAAAAAGAAGACTATGTTTTGGGTTTCAGATAAGTGGAAGTGCTGGAGTCACTTAAATTAGATGGGATTTTGTTTGTTGCTCTCCAATTTCCAAAAGTTGGGGCTTGTATCCCTGTGGGATGTGATTTGCTGAAGGTTGCTGTGTGTAAAATAAATCTCCACGTTCAGTATTCCTTCTAGCTCAGAAAGTGAGCACCTTTTGATATGGGCAAAATTCAGATCAGCTCTCTGGGCAGCAAATCTTACATATTATGTAGGCTTGCTTCAGGGTCATGGTGGGAGAAACTGGTTTGGGATATGGAAAGTTGGGATATGCAGAAATTAAGGGCCAGGCTCTGTTTAACATTTAGATTGAATCATGAGTTGGACACCAGCAGCTCCCTATGCTGCATGCTGCTGTTTGCAAAGTTGGCTGAAACTCTGTCAAATAGGGACATCATTCCAAATAAGATATTTCTTTTTCTTCATATTGTTGATCCTCATGCTTGCAACAGAAAAATGCTTTTAGTTTTTCAGGTTTAATTTGGTGCAGTGAACTGCCAATGCATTCACTGACTTTATGCCAGTGGGGCTGTGCTGGGTGTGTGTGAGAGGCAAGGGGTTGCTTACAACATGAGCCTTTCTCTGGTGTGAGCATGTTCTTTCAGAAATCAACAGCTAATAGTTATTTTTGGGGATCACTAAAATGAAGTTATAAACAGCTGGTGAGCTGAGACCTTTAGTTCAGTGTTGAATGGCTCACCTGTGTTGCATTTTTCCTCCTCCTCCTCCAACCAGCTGCTTTTCTTGTGCATCTGCTTCACTCTGACATGCAGCTCCTGAAGGAGGAAGATCAGTGTTTCACTCCATGCCTCCTGAAACGCCATTCAGCGAGGCTGTGACCTTCAGCTGAAGTTTCTAGCTGCAACAGAACAAGAGCACAAAATTAGCACAATACAGTAATTCATAGTGGAAGCATTAGGGCTGGTTCAATAGTTGCAACTGCTTTAATTCCTGCCTCTAAACAGGTGAGCTTATGTAAAAATAGCTTAAAAAGGCATTGTAAGCTGAGTCTTGTTTAAGCTGTTACTGAACCTATTCCAGAATCTCTGAACCTTTTTTCTTTTCTTTGCAAAGTTGTAACTGGAAATGCTGAAAGTCAGCTTTGTCAATCCATGTGGAGTTGCTATTGTCCCTGATTTTTTGATTTTTTTTTTTTTTTTTTTTTTTTTTTTTTTTTTTTTTGGTAAAGCTAGGATTATTGCTTTACATGGTATGCAGTGGTATTTTCAAGTGAGAAATAATAATTGGAGAAGGAAGGAAACAGCTGTTTTGCTGATGAATTTTATGTTTCCAGTTTAAAAGACAGAAGTGTTTCAGGAGACACAGGTAGAATTGCTGGGTAACTATGTCAGGTTTTTTGACCTGTGCCAGGAGTTTTAGAAGGAAATGTTTTATTCCCTCTTTTTAAGGTGCTAGAAACTGAAATAATCTTCTGCAGCTATTCAAATGTGCAGGTGATGTAAGTGTAGATAAAGTTCAGAATCTGGCTTTGAAGCCCTTCTCAAGCTGGGGCTGAGACAGGCCAGCAAGGACATTTTGGAGATTTGCAGCAGTTCTGTCAGTATTATGACATTCTATTATTATTTTCAATCACTTATTTTTATTTTGATTTGTCAGAAGTTTAATTTTGTCTGAGAACCTTGGCTGAACCTGATTTACAGCTGCCTGTAATTGTGTTGCAAATAAGAAAAAAAATTATAATAAAATAATCACAGCCATAATCTGATCTAGCCTTTGCCATAGTTTCTCATATAAATCTCCTTAGTACTTTTCCCATTGTGACTGGGTTTATGATGAAAAATAGAAGATCTCTTTTCTTCCTAGAAAATGATGTATCCTGTGGAGTAATTAATCTGGTTAAGGAACTAAGGCTGGCTTGTTCTGCTCTCCATTCTCCCAACAATTTCTGGCCTACACAGAAATCTCTGCAGTGGGAGCAATAAATCTGAAATGAATGACAGACACTAATTATATGTGACCTCATTGTCATCTGCAGCATGGAACAGTCTATGACCATTCCCAGTGTATCAGCTGCAGATATTTTTAGTCTAGAAAATTTAAAGAAAAGACAGCTTTAAAAATAGCTGCTCACTGGGCATCCCCTTTCTGCACATCCCCATTTCCCATTATGTCAATCCTTGGCCCTGGCTCTGTGCCTTGCCTTCACTGGCTTCTGATGCTGTGGAAAAATGGGTGTGAGTTAGGTCTGCAGGTGAGTAACCCAAAGATAGGAGAAGGAGCTGGAAGTCTGCAATGAGCTTCAGAACAAGAAGAAAACAGAGAAGTGCTCTCAGATGAGGGGCTGGGGGATGTGCTGGGAGGTGTTCACCAGCAGCTCTGCTTCAGCCAGGCTGGGGGATTCTCCTCCCATCACCTGTCCCCTGACCATCTTGATACCAACCTATTTTTGTGAAGTTTCTGCTGGATTGAAACTCCTTTTCTCCTTTTCTGTGTGTCTTTTTTCTTTTTTTTTCTTTTTTTTTTTTTTTTTTTTTTTTTTTTTTTTTTTTTTTTTTTTTTTTTTTTTTTTTTTTTTTTTCTTTTTTTTTCTTTTCTTTTTTTTTTTTTTCTTTTTTTGAGGGAACTGCTGACTTTTCTGAGAAACTGAGCCCCTTTTAGATTCCATATATTGGGCATGTCAGGCAGAGCTTGCAGCATCACTGCTGCTGGTGTCTAAGTCTAAGACTGTGTCATGCAGGAAGATTAGGCTGCTCTGCTCTTCCTTTTGGGTGGGGAGAGATGAAGAATCTCAGACATATAATTTCTGTAATTACTCAAGAAAGGAATCACTGTCAGGCCAGTCATGCAGGGCCCTCTGTTCTAATTTTTCCAAAGGAAAGTCCAAGTGCCAAGTAGCCTCCTGTCCTAAATTGGAACAAAAAGGACAAATGTTACCATTTTCTTCAAAATGAAGCTCCTTTAAATATTTTCAGAATATTGAACATGGATTGAAGTGCTTCACTTAATAAACTAAAAGAATTTCTCAGGTTTGAAATCCAGACCAGTCTTGATTTTTAGTCATGTTTCAGTACATGATGATGAAGAGCATGAAGGCATCAAAGACACAAACACAAGAAAGAGCTGTCCTGACTCAGGACCACTGACTGCAGTGTTTGTTGGCAGTGTCTGAAATTCAGTAGCAGAATCCCTTTTATGTTCATTTGTGACTGTTTGTATTGTTGCACTTTACCTCAGCACAGTATTTTGTCATAAGCACTGCAGGAAAAAATGCAAAATTTTACTCTTTCAGATCAGTAATGAGCCATGGGCTGTCCTGTGATTGAACAGAGATGGTGATGGAGCTATAACAAGTAAGGAATTGTTTGCAGTGAGGTGAAAGAGAATTCCTTCCCAAGGGTCTGAACTGCCCTCCTTAATGGGACTTGGAGAAGCCAGTCCCACATTTGTACTGCCATGTGTGTTTGTTGCTACCAAATGCTGACAGTTTCTTTCTTTTTAATCATTTAGTTGAAGTAATGGCATCTTCCTCTTGAAAAAGTCTTGATTTGCAAAAAATTGAGCGGGTCAAGCTCTAATTGTTTTACTTGGTGTCGTAAATGATTTGGGGGAGAGTCACACATTCCTGTATGGTGTTCCCAGGGTTATTCTAAATAACTTTGTCACTTATAATGACTTGTTGATGGTGAGCCTTTTGGAAAGGACAGCTTTGACATTAAACACAGGATATTTGAGGAGCTTATTTATGAGGATTCAGCACCAAATTAAATGCCTGTTGCCATGGAAGAGGTTCCTGGTGATGTGATAATACGAGCATTTTTACGTTGGTTTAGTTTTGTTTTACTTTTATTTTTGAGTTGAGCAGTGAATGAAACCTGTAAATGCATTGTTAATTGGCTGATTTCTCAGCACTTACTGAGTGTCCAAACTTTGTGCTGCTGTGAGCTCTACAGAGCTGAGTATCTTACATATTTCATTTGTCAGATGTGAAGTGCAGAGGAATCTGGAGTGATTCCCAGGTGGACTGTCAGCTCCATTAAAAATAGTTTTAGCACATCTTTGTGGCAACAGGCTGGGCAGGGTGTGTATTTGAGTCCAGATCACTCATCTGTTGACTCAGGCAGTGAAATCAGATTTATCCTGTATTTCCTACCCAGCAGAAGCTGGTGACCAGTCCATAACTGTGTCCCCAACACAGGAACCAAACCTTGACCAGGGCTGCAGTGGTCCTGAGTCACAGAGCAGGTTCAGAACTGTCACTAATGTGGAGTTAAACTGGCACACCCACATGTGGTAGAAATTCAACATCTCTCCCTTAAACTGAATGAAGTTTTAATGGGCTACATGGGGAAACCCTCCAGTTCTAATGGGGAAATTTTTTTCTTAATTATCTTAACAATAATTAGCCATTTTGGAAAAAGATGCTGCTAATTGATTCTTTATAGTTTGCTCATTATGCACAGATACAACAAGATGTGTTGATTTGGACTTTGGTTTGAGAAGCTGAGGATAATTTCCACAGAGCCATGGGGGTTTAAGAGCTGGGAGTTCAGATCTCATTTATCTGAAAACATTCTCTGTCACAGAAGAGGTTCTGTCTATATCCTTTATATTAATAATTTGATTTTTGATTTTCTTTTTTCTTTTTTTTTTTTTTTTTTTTTTTTTTTTTTTTTTTTTTTTTTTAATCTGTTTCATTTAGGTCTGGCAAAGCCCATGGGATTAGTTGAAGGTCCAGGAGGCTTGGGCCAGGGGGGAATGGCTGCTACGCTGAGAGATGATAGCCATGAATCAGAGACTAAGTATGAAGAATATGGTTACAATGCCCAGCTCAGTGACAGGATATCACTGGACAGGTCCATCCCTGACTACAGACCTAAAAAGTAAGTTGAATTCTGCATTATTATTTGGAGTAAGGGATTGATTGTTGTTCTGCTGATCCTGTTAGCATTCAGGAACACACATAATCACGGGATGTGATTATCTGCAGGTGCTTTTGTTAAGAGCTCTGGGAATCAGGGGTACAGACCCAAATCTGAATCTGACATGGCTTTTGAGCTGAATGTATTTTATATTCTATCGTTATATAACTTACATATTAATTATTAAACTTATATTGTTCTATTGTATACATTGACATGAGTTTCTCGTGATCTTTCATAGGTCCCTGACCACAGTTTCTCATGATTATTCTTATGATTAAACAGTAATTATATTTAATTAATAAACAATCATCACATCTAACAATTATATCAATTATCATGTACTAGCTACACAGTGCAGTTCTAGCAAGTACAAGTTCTCCATGTGCTTAGGGTGTTTATTTTTCCAGGGCCTACTAAGCTTATTTTTCCTTTTAACCCTTAATCCCCATGATTTTAAAACCCTTTTACTATCAATCCATGGTGGCATTCTTCACACCCCTTCCTGGCTGGAATATGACAGCAGATACTTGTACAGAAACCCCTGAGCTGAGTTCAAATGAAATAGACCAACTTCATTAATTAAATGCATAGCTAATTCTGTCAGTAGTACATTAATATGCATGTTCAAGGCCTCAGATCAAAAATTACATCAGGATATCAGTGCTTTTGAGGTTTGGTTCATTTAGAAAAAGCCTTCAGAGGTGACAGATTTAGTCTGTGCTTCTTGTAGTCACGTGCAGTGGGAGGGGGGCAGTGCAACAAACACTTCATAGTCACTGCTCCCTTAAAAAATACCCCCATCTTATCAAATCAATTGTCTTTAATTGCATTTGATATTCTTAGAATTGTTTAGTCAGGGTTTGCAGTGTGCTGAAACATGGACTAAGTGCAATCCATCGGGGTCCTGTAATTGCAGTAAGGTGGTTTTTTTGTCTTTAGAATGTGTGTCTATTTTTATTCCAGTGTTTATAGTCTTCACACGCCTGTGCTATGCTTGACATTGCAATTACATGTTTATTATTTGCACTGATTTATTATATTTTGTATTAAATAACTTTCAAATCTTTCATCTTTATGGAGTTATATATTTTCCAGATGAGACATGCACACTATCATCCCATGAATGACAATCAGTAATGTCTTAATGCAGAGGAGATCAGCAACAATGCCTAGTTGCTCTCAGGAGATAGAATTGAAAAGAATACTTAATTAATTTCTAATAATAATCTTCTGTTTTAAAAGACCCACTGGGGCTCCTAGGAAGAACTGAAAGTTAAATAAAAAATATCTTATTAAGCTATGAGAAAAGTTTAGCCAAGCTAAACAGCTGTGTCTGTGAGTAGATTGCAATTGAATTAGGATTTTAGGCAGTTCAAGCTGCCAAAAACAGAACTTCAGCTTAACCACAAATTTCTTTAGCTGTGTTACATATTAAACTGATCTCAGAAGTATTGACTCATCTTTTGTTTTATCAAACACTTGCTACAGAAAACAAAATTTAGGTAACAGAAGAGGCAAAAAGAAAACAGTAGTGCCTTGATAGCACATTTGATGCAAGTACATTGACTTGTTCAATGCTCTCATCCCTCCTCTCTTGATGTGTCATAAAATTCCATCATGGAATTATGCTGGGGAAAGAGGAGTCTGTGGTTATGCAAATATTGGAGCTGTGCATCAGATCTGCCCCAGAGACCCTAAAGTCAAAGTGAAGTTTCCCAAATGAAGGTCGGTGAGGTCTGACCTGGCTGTTACTCACTGCTGTGGGCAGGGGGATGAGGATAAATGAGATGTGTTCTGCTAGGAAATGCAAAAGCAAAGGCTGCAGAGCTCAAATCCAGCTCAGCAGCTGTCAGAGGCATGAGACCATTTGCAGTGCAGTGATGTTTCACTTCAGATGATGCTCTCCCACAGTTTTGCTCAGAAGCTTTGATGAGTCATTCAGATGAGCTTTTTGACATTCTCATTGTGGGTATCTCATCAGGCCATGCCACATGATTAAATATCTGTGTCACTGGGAGAACTGCCTTCCTTGCCATGTTTTGACACTTCTGAGGAGGTTCTAGTTAGATCTAGAAGCTGCAATTGATGCACTTGTCTCTAGATGAGTCACAGGAAAACCCTTCAGACTGAATTTGCTATGGAAATGGAGAGTGTGGAGAAGGTAGAAGGACTTTGTGTAAGAAGATTTTTCCCACTTAAAAGGTTTGAGAGCAGCCCTGAGGAGGAGGATTTGGGGGTGTTGGATGACATGGAGCTCAGCATGGCCCAGAGTCCAGAAAGCCAAACGTGTCCTGGGCTCATCTCCCAGCACGGGAGCAGGGCAGGGAGGGGATTCTGCCCCTCTGCTCCACTCCTCTGGGAGCCCCCTGGAACTGCACCCAGCTCTGCAGGCCCCAGCATAAGGAGGACATGTACCAAAGCTGAGCTGGACTCTTTGGTTTAGAAAATCTGCTCTAATTATGTTTTGGAGAGAACTGAACCTCCATGAGCTTGAGACAGACCTTGAAATACCACTCTTGTCCAGTTTCTCTGTGTGCAGACTTGCTCAGTGGTCTCCCCTCTCCATTGCTGAGCTTGTCAGTTTGCTTGTGCTTTATATTCCTGTCATTCCCAGAACTGTTCATTTTTTACAGGAGAAGGCTTTTCACTTTTAAATTGAAGGGCAAGGTAGAATCAATGTCCACGGCCATATACAAAGTCCATGGCCAGTCTGAATAAAAACATCCAAATTTGCATTCCCAAAGTATTAAACTCTGCTTTCTCCCCATTCTGGCTTCCATTTGAAATATTCAATCTATGTATTTTCTCAAACCACTATTAAAGATATGAACAGGGAGAATTTATACTCAAGTCTATACTGCACAGGCACAATTTATGAAAGTAAACATGATTTCAGTATGCAAACTCAGGACTTATAATATTCCAAGCTTGATGAGAAATATTGTATTTTAGTACATTTGAACTCCCCTCTTAGTGTTGTCCACTCTCTTATTCTGATAGAATAAGCCTTCTATTCCATCTACAAGCATAGGTTCATAAACATTTGGCAGTTTAATTGCTTTCCAGGAAGTATTTTCATCCCCATGCAGCAAATTAAAAAATATGTTGCTTTACGGAGGTGCAGAGTCAGCCAACATGACCATGAAGGCTCCTAAATTGGAGTCACCTCCCCCTGTCCTTCCACTGCAGCAAAGTCTCAAGCCTGGGTGGGTACTCCTGCCCTCAAGATGCTTTTCTCACATTTTGTTCTGCTTTCCTACCTGCTGCTGCCACTACTTTTATTCCTTTTAGCTCAGAAACATTTCTTTAGGATACAAATTTCTGTTGGTACAGGAGACAAAAGGAAATTCTGTGCATGTTGGGTTTGTGTGCCAAATAGAGGCAATGGCAGTAAACTTCTTGCTTGTGATCACAAATCACACAATAATTACAAAATTACCGTTTGAGTCGAGCATGGTATGATAAATATATCTCAGCTTCTTCTCTCAATATCAGGGATTTTTAAGGATCTATCAGAGATGTATAAATAATATAATATTTGAAGTTTTTCAAGGGCTATACTACTGTAGAAAATATGTTGCAGGGAGCTCAGAATGTTTAATGTCCTGATTTTTCTTCACAGCAGTATTAGCTTTATTAGTGAGGACTCCTAGCCCTCACTAACACACCTTATTTCTTCTATGAAATGGAAGAAATAGAAGCTTTTCTTGCAAGGAACAGGTTATTTTTGTTTTGCAAGCACAGGGCTCAGCTAGAGCTTGTTCTGTGGTTCTCTGGGAAAAGTGCTATTTGATGGTGAAGTGTTATTGGAGTAATTTCCATATATGTTCTTCCATATATAAAATGAGTGTTGTAATTGAAAAAACCTGAGCACTAAGTGAAAATAATCTACTGATGCCAATGAACCTTGTGTGTAGGAAAGCATAAGAACTTGTATTCCTGTCAGCCATCCCTCCCAATATGTCTAGGTGTAGAATTGTCTAGAATCCTGCCCCTGGAAATGCTGTAAAATCTGCTGGGCTCTGTCCATGCCTCTCTTACCATAATGTCAAAGGGAAAATGTTTGACTGAATAGGCAAAACCAGACCTGGAGCAACAGAGCTGAGATTTTAGTGGAGGTTTTGCACTTCCCGGGGTCAGCCACCTAAAGCCCTGCAGGCACTGGGCAGAGGAGAGCAGGTGTCCCTGTGTGGCTACAACAGGCTGGCAGAATTCTTCCTCCTGCCCTTTTGGGGGATAACAGCCTCCACTGCTGCCAGCTCTAGCCAAAATATCAGCCCCTGCTAAATAACAAAGGATCAGACTCAGCCCTTCCCAATCATGCATGAAGGTAATCATGCAGAGGTGCTGAAGCCCCACGTGACAGTAGATTTTTACTTTAGCAAAGTTAAAGAAAGTAGAGATGCCCAAAACCTTAGGGAATGTCATTCAAAGACAGGGGTAAAGGCCCCCAAACTTACAAAAGCTGTTTGTTTTACAGCATAGCATGCTGGAAAATTGGGAAGTGTCAGCTAACCAGATGCTTTCAGACATAAGCATTTTCTCTCAGGATAACATCAATTCCCCTGTTCTTTTTGATGCACAGGCTGGATAGCAAGGGGTTGAACTGAACAGGTGCAACACCTGTAAATTCAGCATTTCCTATCTTTCTATCACTTGACTTTGCAACTTAAATAACTTCAGGGGTTTCTTTATATGCAGGATACATCCACACACACAGACAAGCACACTCAGGCACTTGTCAAAACCACTTGCTGTCATGCATTATGCATACTTTTGAGAAAAGTTAATATGATCCTGCAGCTTCCATAATGGCTAAATTGGCTTTTACACAAAATCGTCGCTGCTTGGTGAGGATCTTTAATTTAACCAATCTTTTTTTTTGTGCAACTGGATGCTCAGTGCATTGTGGCAGTCCAGTGATAACAATAATATTAATATGTGGATTCAGTCTGCTG